TCAGTTTGTTCATTTTTTTTTCTTATTGTAAGGACAGGAATAATGACTTCCAAGCTCTTTACTTGTCAGAGCTGAAACCAGAAACTGTCTGTAAATTTATTTTGAACCAAGATGTATGGAATAGCATTTGGAAGAATTGACAAATTATTCTATTTTTTTTAATGTTTCCACATGTCTCAACCAACGCTGGATAGGAACACCAGCAATTTAAACCTGAATCTCAGGTTAAATGCAATCACTAAAGTGAAATGCTGTGAGAGAAAGGAAAAAGGTCTGAAATAATAAATTATGGAAATAAATTTGTATGAATGGACCAAAATAGTACAAATGAAAACAACTATATAATGTGATAACAATCCAAACACTTGAAAGAAAGGATGTAGAAAATATCCATATGGATACTGTGAATAAGCAGAACAAGGAAGAGGTTGATTCTATTCATGACGATTACTCAGGACTTTGAACAAGGACCTCCATCTCTCAGGATTCAAAACAGAGTGTGAACTAATGGCCCAAATGCTGAATTAGGCTTTTTGACATGAACAAGGGAAGGAAAGAAGGAAGGAAGGAAGGGAAGGAGGGATGGAGGGAGAGAGGAAGGAAAGAAGGAAGAAAGGGGTTACTGACTTTTAATGATTCAACAGTTTCTCCAGAAAACCTGATGCTCCCAAGGAGCTGGCTGATGTTTTCCCAGTTGCTCTCTCCAGTTGCTGAGCAGACAGAGTATTGCTTTCTCCAGTTTGCCTCCGATGTGTCCAGAACATCTCACTTGTTTTTGTAGCTGGGCTTTCTAGGCGTCTGAGTTTGTCTTCTAAACCAGTTTATTAGGAGTTGGGGAAAAAAAGATAACAAACCCTAATGTGTCTTTTCTAGAACCTGGAAGTCAGATAGAAGTTTAGGATGTTGGTTACACTTTAGTAAACAGGGCCATTCATCTGACTTCTTCCATGGATGGTTTGTAATTCACAACTGTAATTAACAATGAGCACACATGGAGATATTTCTATTGTTTACTGGATCTTTATCATTTAGGGGTGTTGAAAACAATCACCTTTTCTAAATTATCTCCATGTCTTCTTTTTGTTCTGTGTCATTTTACCCCATTTTGGAAAAAGTCTGACCAGCTTCTATAGTTCCATTTTGAGGAATTTAGAATCTTGTTCAAGACATGGTCATTACTGCCACTATATGGATTATTTTGAAAGTCACTTGACACGAAAACATTTAGTTGGAGCTTTTGAACTTAAAGGTATATGGCTTGATATTTCCCCTAGTATCTATGGCTCATACCTATGGATTTTCTTTTCTCCAAACTAATAACTAATTAATAGTTATTAGTTTATCTTACATTTTTGAAAATCTACATCCTGAGTAGTTGCATGAGAAACATACAGACGCACATGCACACGCAAAAATATCTATATATGTATATATGAAATCTGTGTAGGTGTATATAAACACAAAGGTAATATACATATATACATACAAAAATACACAATATATGCATGTTTATTTATTGCATTTTCCTTATTTACACAAATGGATTCATATGCACACTTTTTTGGACCTTGCTTTAATTCTTTTCAATAGCTGTATAGTATTCATTTGTGGACATTTCTATTACTTTCAATTGTTTCTCTTCTGTATTTATTTTGTTCGGGTATTAGAAATTATACTGCTTATATACCCTGGGAATTCTAT